AGGCCCAAGGGCTCTGCATCCTCACCTTCCCTGAGATCTGACGTTGCGAACAAATTGCAACATCGAGAAAAATCGAGGCCAGAGCCCTAGACCCCATCTTTATCCGCACTTTGGCGAGGCGGATCAATATGTGAGGGTCCTGGGGCCCGAAAGCGGCCGAGACCGCCCGTTGCGACAAAAATTGCAACGCCCTGATCTGAGGTTTGCGTCGGGGCAGCGAGGGCTGCGAAAAGGTGCCCTTTAGGACTCCTGAAGGAGCCCTTTCGGGCCTAGACGGGGACCTCTGGGGCCCGATTCGGGCACCGCTCTTCCCCCCCAACGCATCGCCCCCCCCCCCACTGCTTCGCGCCCAGGCTGCTACCGATGTCGACTGCATGCCTGTGAGCGGATGTTCTGCTCCTCGAGGTCTGCCTGCTGCTGGGGGCGGACGGGCGCGGGGACGCCGAGCTGGAGGCCGCGCTCCTGGGCTTCCGCGGGGCCAAGGGCCTGGCCGGCGCGGGCGTGAACGTGGGGCCGAGCCCGCGGGCCAGCATCGCGGCCACGCGCAAAGGGGACCGGGGGGGGGGCGGGCTTCTGGGCAGGACGCTGCTCTTTTCCGGCGACCGGTGCGGGGAGTCAGCCCAGACCCCTCCTCCTCCTCCTCCTCCTCCTCCTCCTCCTCCTCCTCCTCCTCCTCCTCCTCCTCCTCCTCCTCCTTTGAGGCGATCGCAAACATGGATCAAGGGTGTCGTCGATTAGCGAGGGGCCCCGTTTCCGTGGGACATCGCGGGGTTCCGCCGCCGAGCGAGGCGGCACGGGCCTCATTTTGGAGAGGGCTCCTCCCCCGATTCATGGATTTGGCGACCGCGCGCCAAGTCCATGGATCGCTAATCCATGTTTGCGGGCCCACGATCCTTAGAAGGAGCGGACCATGTCGCCTTGTCTGTAGATGTAAGGCCCAGGCCTTCCATGAAGCAGCCTCCTTCCAAGAAGCCTTCTCCCCTACAGCGGAAGCCGATGCCAAGAAACGCCCTGCTTGCCTCCAGGGTGCCCTGGGTTTCTTGGGTTTCGATGGCTCCGCTGTGGAAGGCGTGACGCTCCCACGCCAAAAGTCAATGGACGTCCTGGGGTCTCAGGGTTGGGTTTCTTGTGGAAGGTTTCTTGTGGTCGGGCCTCCCCCTACCCCCTTGTGCGCGTCGCCAAGCATCGACGCGCTCCTCCACGGCTTCGCGGGCTGCGTGCGCGCGCGGACGGAGCAGGCGAGCGTTGCAGAGGGCTGGGGGGGGGTCTGCGGCGGCCCAGCGCTGGCTCCGGCCAGCAGGCCTGGCGGGCAGTTTCGGATTTCTGGGTGCGGGGAAGTGTTTGGTCCTGTTCCGTGCCTACAGACCCAGACCCCCTCGAGTAATGACAAAATCACGACGGGAGGTTTTTCGCCATTTTCGGCCTCCGGGGGCCCTCACCGGGCCTCGGGCGCGTCAAAAAACGACTCAGGATGACAAACCGGTCCTGGGGAAGGGGTCGGGACCTCTGGGGGTCGACGTAATGAAGAAATCATGACGTCGGGGGTCTGGGGAGGCCGCGTTCGGGCCCCGGTGAACCGTCAGAGACGGGTCGATGGAGTGGCAGACTGCGCCAGAGGGACTCCGGGAGGGGTCCGGGGGCCGATTTTGAGCGGATTTGGGGGGCCACGTGCGAACCCTACCCCTTAAGCGATGCTTAAGAAAAGTCAATTTTTCGGCCGGAGTCTCGATTATTCTTAATGTTTCAATGTAACTCCTAAGATTTGAATGGAATTTTTGGGTTTTTATTCAAGTTCTGAGACTATGAATTTCTTAACCCATGATTTCTTAAGCATTTCGCAGGGTGTACCCCTGCCCCCGAGGATTTCCGAGGGGGAGGGTGGGGTTCACTTCGCTCGGGAGCTCCCGAAGGAAGTGAACCCCACCAGGGTTCGCACGTGGCCCCCTAGGATTCTGCCTCCCCCCCCCTGCTGACCGATGTCCCCGGGGGTTCCAACTAGTTCAGGCCCCCTGGCCGCCTCCATGAGGTGAGGGCCGCGCTGTCCGACCCCGCGGCGGGCAGCCGCGACTCGGCCGCGCTGCTCGCCCGGCTGCTGCAGAGGACATGGCATCGCTCCGACGTGTGCATTTCTGTCTCGGCGAGGACGATCGCCGAGCATCTCCCGGCGGCGAGCGAGGGGGAAGTGAGAAGGAGAAGGCCTTCTCAGAAGGTTCGGAAGCCCCCCTGGCTTCCTGAGAAGTTTTCTAAGCTTTCCCTGGAGACATAATAAATTTGTCTGAAGGCTGGGGAGCTTCCGAGAAGCTCCGCCGCCTTCTGAGAGGGCCTTCCCCTTCCCATTTTTTCCCCTCGCCCGCCGCCGAGAGACCATCGATGAGCATCGTGGATCATCGCGCGAGAGATCAGCGCATGACGCCGAAAAAGACGCACCTGGCACTGGGCGTGTCCGAGCGGCGACGCGAGAGGAGCGACCTGCAGCCCGAGGAGGTGCTCGACAACGCGCACAGCTGCCTGCTCGCCGGCTTCGACACCATCATGGCGCTGGCCCTCCGCGGAGGGCAAGGCACCGATACCTCTGCCCTTCGCTCGCTTTCCCCCCTTGTTGGGCCTCTCGGGAGGCCCTCGCCGCCACCGCTGGGTTCGCCTCGACCTCCTGGTCAGCACGCACACCGGGAGAGAAGTCCGGGGAATAGCGTTGGGAGGGTGTTTCCGAAGGGTTTAGGCGACCCGTCCTCCTCCTCCTCCTCCTCCTCCTCCTCCTCCTCCTCTTCGTCGTCCTCCTCCTCCTCTTGGTCGTCCTCCTCCTCCTCCATCTCCTCCTCCACCTCTCCCTCTTCCACCTCCTCCTCCTCGAGCCTCCTCCTCCTCTTCCTCCTCCTCCTCCTCGGGTCGCCTACGGCCCCGGGAAAAGTCCGGGGAGTAGCGGTATCGGTACCTTTCGGTCTCCCCAGGTCTTGTGTGCCACACCGGCGGCCCGAAAAGCTGGCGCCCCGGGGGATGGGGCCCTTGGCAGGGCTCGTCTCGATCCCTCCGTTTGCTAAGGCCTTACGGCCGGTGCCGCCGACCCTGAAGACGACGACGACGACGACGAATACGATTAGGAGGAGGAGGAGGAGGAGGAGGAGGAGGAGGAGGAGGAGGGGATTAAGATGAAAGGGAGCAAAACAAGGCGAAAAAGATGTTCCCCGTGTGGGCCGAGGGAGTCGTAGCAGAGACAAGCAGGGAGCCTTGTGGCTTGCGGCCCTTCCCGCCACCGTGCTGGGGTTGTGGTTGAGAGGCCTCTTGGCCCGAAGCTGGCGCCCCGAGGGGTGGGGCCCCGGCAGGGCTCGTCTCGATTCCTCCGATGGTCGATTCGGTTCGACTCCGACGGCCTCGGATCAGAGCGTGAATTACCTACCCCGCTTTCGCTTCTAGGCAAAACCAAGCCATACCACGCGCCTCTTCGTCAAGCGGCCTGACCAGTACAGGCTGCAATTTGGCATCGTTTGGTATCTCTTGGAAGCGAGGGCGGTCAAAAGCGAGGTAGGTTTGTTTTCCCCCTATCGGAGTCTGATCCGATTGCAGTTGGGATCCCGATTTGGGCTCCGATGGTCGATGCGATCCGACTCCGATGGCCTCCGATTCTGGTTCGCTCTGATTTGGGATTCTCCGATTCTGGCTCCGATGTCTCGTCGGAGGCATGCCGCCGATTCGACGTTGGCCCAACTCGGCGGCCGATTTTCCGCCGATCCGATCCACTTCGATCGCCGACCCGACGTGTCGAAAAGGGCGCCTTCGAGGGCGCGAAGTTGTTCGCGCTTCGCGGTTCGGCTCCGATTCCTCCTCGTCCTCCTCGTCTCCCCTGGGAGGCGGCGCGAGAGCACGAAGGTATTCGCACTGCGCGCTCCGCGCCGCGCGAAGCGTGTAGTCGAGAGCCCTTGTGTCGATTCGATTCTGGGCTCTCCTCCTGCCCCAGGGCCTCCTCCTCCTCCTCTTTCCTCCTCCTCCTCCTCCTTCTCCTCCCCCTCCTCCTCCTCCTCCTCCTCCTCCTCCTCCTCCTCCTCCTCCTCCTCCTCCTCTTCCCTCCTCCTCTTCCTCCTCCTCCTCCTCCTCCTCCTCCTCCTCTTCCTCCTCCTCCTCCTCAGGCCGATGCTCGATGCTCCTCAGGCCGCGTGCTGGCCTTAAGTCGGGCCTGTACCTCTACAGGGGCAGATTTGAAAGTAGTCAAAACATAGCCCTGGGACGATGTTCCTATTATTTGTTGACTATGTCTGATTATTTGTCGAGTACTGCTTTTCCTAACAACATCCGCCTGTAGGGGGACTCGACGTCATGCTAGCCCCAGCGTGCATGTTTGCTCTGTGCGGCTCCGCCGGCAGCGCGCGGCCCGTGTCGGCCCTCGTTTTGCGATGTCCGCGTCGCCCTGCAGGGCTTCGGTTTGCAGGCACACGCTGGCGCCAACACACGCGCTCGGAGGATCCTCGAAGAGCAGACTCTCAGGAGGATAACAAAAACACACAGACACAATGATTTGCTTCGAGCGATCCCCCCCCGAAACCTTTGGCCCCTGTCCTCCTCCTCCTGCCCCATGCCTCGTTCCGCTCCTCCTTCCTCCCCCCTCCTATCCTTAGACTGAGGGGCGCAGGCGAGGAGGCCGCGGCAAGGACTGCGGGATTCTCAGGACAGCTGGGGGTCTGGGGCATGGTTTTGGTGCGTTCTGTGATGTTATCTTGTGCTCTGGTTTGGTTTGTTCCGTGATGTTATGTGGTTCTCTGTTATGTGACGTTCTGTGTTGGTTTGTTATGTGATGTTCTGGTGTGCTCTGTTCTTTCATGGTATGCATTGTGTTGTCATGCTATGTCATGCTCTGTTATGCTCTGTCGTGTTCTGTGTACAATGTTGTGCTGCTCTGTCATGATGTGCTATGGGATGTTCTGCGATGCTATGTCATGCTCTGTGTTATGTAATGATACTGCCATGTTATGTTCCGCTGTGTTATGTCATGATCGCATTGAGGTATGTTATCTTCTATTGTGACATGTTGTGTTCTGTCGTGTTCGCCGCCACGCTCTGTTGTCGTGTTAGGAGATGTTCTGAACGCTGTGTCATGATATGATGTGTCCCGTCAAGGTGCGTTATCGTATGATCAGTTATGTTCCCCAATCAGAGCTTGCCTCTGTAGGGGTCCTAGCGGATTCATATGGTTAGGTTAGGTTTGCTGCCGATTTTCGCCGCACGCCCGGGTGCCCGGGGGTGCCCGGGTGCCCGGGTGCCCGGGGGTGCCCGGGGGTGCTTGGGTGCCTGGGGGTGCCCTATAGCCCTATATAGCCCTATATAGCCCTATAGCCCTATAGCCCTATAGCGCCCAAGAGCCCATATAGCCCTGTAGCCCTATAGCCCTACAGCCCCTAAAAAGATGATTATTGGGGTTTTCCCCGGTATCATTATGGTAACATCTGTTTTGTGATGTTATACTATGGTTTGTGTTGTTGTAGTATGTGATGTAATGTTATGCCCAGGTATGTTTTGTGATGTTATCATATGATGTATGGTGTTATGGTATTGCTATGGTATGTTCTGTCATGTTCTGTTGTGTACTGGTGTGTTGTTTCGGGTTTGTCGAGGGCGCGACTCGGGGACTCTCGGGACAACTGGGGGTCTGGCCTGGTTGTGGTTACTTTTGTGATCTTTTCTAGTGCTCTGGTTTGGTTTGTTCTGTGATGTTATGTGATTATCTGTCATGTGATTATCTGTTGTGTGACGTTCAGTTCTGGCTTTCACTTTGATGTTATGGTGTGCTCTGTTATTTCATGCTATGCACTGTTTGTCATGTTCTGTCATGCTCTGTTATGTTCTGTCGTGTTCTGTCTACTATGTTGGTCTGTTCTGGCGTGGTATGCTCTGGTATGTTCTGTGATCTTATGTCATGATATGGTATGTAATGGTACTGCCATGTTATGGTCCGTCGTGTTATGCCATGGTTGTATTATGTTATGTTATCATATATTGTGACATGTTGTGTTCTGACGTGTTCGCCGCCATGCTCTGTTGTCGTGTTATGGTATGTTCTGAACGCTGTGTCATGATATGATATGTCCGTCAAGGTGCGTTAAGTTATGATCAGTTATGTTATGATAGTGTGTGTTCTGGTGTTTGATGCCGTTTGTTTGTTATGCCCGGGTATGTTTTGTGATGTTATATGATGCTCTATGTTGTCATGATATTGTTATGTTGTGGTCTGTCATGTTCTGTTTTGTATTGTTGTGTTGTTTCGTGTTTGTCGAGGGCGCGAGACGGGACTCCCAGGGACACTCGGGGACTCTCGGGGACACTCGGGGACTCTCGGGAAAACTTGGGGTCTGGCGGCCGCGGTATGCAGTCGTGTTTGCCGAGGGCGAGGGGGCGGGATTCCCAGGGACTCTCGCGGATATTGGGGGATTCTCGGGACAACTTGGGGTCTGGCGGCCGCGGTATGCAGGGTGGGTTTGGCCGTGTGATTGTTCTTGGAATCTAACAACCCCAACCTGTGGGGTGGAAAATGAATCGCCGATTCCCTGGAAAATATACGAAAACGTGGACAGTGGGGGGAAAGACGAAAGTCCAGAAGACATGGAAAAATAGAGGGAATCCTGGGATTTGTGTGTATTTATTTGTGTGTCCCAGGGCCCCCTGATACTCCGAATTTTGCCAGAACAGGGAGGGGGTTACAACCCTTCCGGACGAGAAATTCTAGACCCCCAGACCAGTCATCCCTGAGATCCGATGTTGGAAAAGAGCACTGCGGCATCGCAAGAGTCACCACCAGAGCCCCGGCCTCGATCTTTCTCTGGTAGTCTTCGAGCAGGATCGATCTGTGCAGGGTCCCGGGGGCCCGAAGCCGGGGCGAACACGCGCGTGGTGAACAAAGCTGCAACGCCAGGATCTCAGGGACGAAAGGGCGGCCTCGTGCTCGGACCCAACGAAGCCCTCCAAGACGGCCCTGACCAGCACCTCCACCCAGATCATGCCCCCTTCTTTGAACTATGAGTTCCAGAGGACGTTTCGCGCCGCATCCCCCTTCTGAGGCCAGGAGCCTCTGCTCAGCGTTTCGTGCCGCTGGCTCTGGCCCGACGTGCCTCGGCGTGGCACGCCGAGCCCGTCGCGGCTCGAAAGCACCAGCGCTCGAGCTTTTCCCGGCACCTCGTCCCGCGAAGCAGGGCGGCACGGCATGGACCTGCAGGGCACAGCGTGTCGCGGGGCCACCGCCGCGACACGCCGAAGGACACAGAATTGCATAAACATCTTGTCTCGGAGGTCCGCACGCATGTCTTGCGTCGGCGCACGGCCCCCCTGGCAGCGCCTCTGGCGCCGCCCCTGGCGCGCGGGGGGTCCAGCGCCGATCCATGACATCCGCGCGGACCTCCGCGAAAGTATGCTCACGCAGTTCTTCGTTCCTCCACTCTGGGCCCCACCCCATTCGGGAGCACTGCTCGTCTTGCACGTGGGTGGCGCAAGCCGTCCGTAAGTTAGCGACTGTTTGCGAACAGCGGTCGAATCACTGCGGCAAGAAGCAGTTGCCCAGAGTGCAGCAAGGACTGCCCCCCTTGGAGCGCCAAAGATTTTCCCAAGAGTCAGGTGGCCCAGAAGAAGGTCCTGCATGAAACCGTTCAACTCTGCCTGTGGCTGTAAGTTACAGACAAGCCCCACCCCTCGGCGCCCTGTCTCTCCGAACCGCCGGCCGTACTCCACCTCGCGCAGCGCGAGGCGACCCAGGCGGCGGCGCGCCGCCAGCTGCGTGGCGACGAGGCCCAGGCCCCGCTGGTGCAGGGCATTCGGGATGGAGAAAAACGCACAGACACAAGTCATCATCGAGCCCCCAGGGAACATGGGACTCCATGGGCAGTGGGGGGGGAAGACGAACACCCAGAAAGAGTATGGAAAAGCAGCGCGGAACTCCTGGGAGTTGTGCCTATTTCGCTGTGTGCCCCTGGGCCCCTTCCTCCTCCTCCTCCTCCTCCTCCTCCTCCTCCTCCTCCTCTCCTCCTCCTCCTCCTCCTCTCCTCCTCCTCCTCCTCCTCCTCTCCTCACCCCT